AACACCAGCTTCTCTAAAACAGCTTAAGTTTTTATCGTATGAACCAGACAATCAAGATTGTCAAAGCTATATCCTCCTTATCTATTCCTCCAAGGGCAGGAAAACCTTAGTTGGCTCTCGGCTGCCAAGATCACTGACCAGCTTAATTTTGGGGGGTGCTGTAAAATGCCTTAGCTCTTTCAGGGAGGGGTGGAGGGCTGAGACACACGCCCAGCCATCCCCTGGCAACTTGCACAGTGAACAGTTGTAAATTAGGTGACATTTGTCCTTAGAGCCAACCCCTTCTGTCCCCCCTTGTTCCTTTTCTTACAATATCCTCCTTTTCCTACTCCTAAGCCTACTCCTTCCCATATCAAAACACACTTACAAGTCACCCCACGTCCCTCATTTGCTGTTGAACATGCACGAGTTTCAGCCAACACGTCACTTTTCTTGGAAGTAGTTTCATGTTCAGATTGTCTTTCCATGTAAAGTGGGAGACTTTATTCCTAGCAGAGGATTTCTTCTTTCCACTTAGCAGAATATTTGGTGTGCAGTAAGAGCAGAGGTTCTTTGGGTAAGACTGGTAAGCTCCAATCTGGAGCTCTACCTGCATGTGATCCTGATGCTCAACGGCCCGCCTCATCTTTTTTCCTTATCGTTATGATTTGGATGTGGTGTCCCCGAAAAGCTCACGTGTGAGACAATGCAAGAAGGCTTAGGGGTGAAATGATGGGGTTGTGAAAGCCTTAACCCAGTAAGTGAATTAATCCCCTCATGGGGATTAATCTCCTCATGAGTGGTAACTGGAGGCAGGTAGGGTGTGGCTAGAGGAGGAGGGCATTGGGGATGACTTTGGGATCCATATTTTGTATCTGGTGAGTGAGTCTCTCTGCTTCCTGATCATCTGTGAGTCACTTCCCTCTGCCACCCTCTTCCGCCATGATGTTCTGCCTCACCTGGAGCCCCGAGGAATGGGGCTAGCTACGCACCCGCTCTGAAACTGTGAGCCCCTAAATAAACGTTTCCTCCTTAAAATTGTTCTTGTCAGGTCTTTCAGTGACAGCAATGAAAAAGCTGATTAAAACACTTATTAATTTGTCCTATGTCCCATTCTCTCCATGTTCTCTTCACTGCAAAGTCATGTGAAACTGTAATTTGATCATCACTCTTAAAGGAAATCTGGTATTGACGGTGGAGAGAGGACCTTAAATGTTACTGTTCTCTCTAATGTTGGGGACCTCAGCTTCCAGGGAAGCCTAAGGTAGACGGTATTTGGTAATGAAGTCTATAAGAAGCTGCAATTCATTCTCTGGTCAGTTTATATCCTCAGTACTGTCTAGCGACATGGAATTAAAGCTTCCTTGGGGATAAAGACAGGTAGACATGGCACTTGGCCTCAGGAGTTTGCCATCAGGCAGGATAGAATGGGGGATCCCGAATGCCAGGCACTTGCAGCCACCACTTTGGATAATCTTATCTAATCCTGGTAGATACTGTAATCTTATCTTTGCAGATAAGGAATCCCAGCTCAGATAAGCAAACTGTCTTCCCCAGGTCCAATACAGAGAAAGAACGATGGAGTCAGAATGGGAACGTAGGTCTGGTCTGGGTCTCCAGTGGGCATTCCCTTTGGCCTTCCACAGCAGGAAAGAAACCGAGGCCAAGGGGAATGTGCAGACAGTGATGCGGACGGTGTGGGAGTTCGGGAACCCTGGAGGGGTACAAAATACTTTTAGGAGAGGGGCTCAGTGGCCCTCAGGTGAAGTCTGCAGCCAGGGACAATGACTGGTTCCTTCCACGGTAGCTGGGAGACCAGGGTCTTCCCAGGTAGATTAGCTCAAGCCAGGGCTGGAGAGTAGGAGAACTATGTGCTGGGGCCCAAAGGGGCCACCTTCTCTCTCACTCATGGCGTGCAGCTGTGGAAAGGTGAGTGAAATGCAGGAGGCCGTGTCCCTCTAGGGAGAGGACAGTTGCTGGGAGCCATTGCCCCTGGAGTAGGTGGTGGGGGCCTCTGCTCAGAGGTCCCGCAGGGAGCTGCCTCTTGCCGGAGCCTGCTGAGGAGGCGGCGGACAGGTGAGGGGGCGGACAGGTGAGGGGGCCAGGTGGTCCTCCTTGCCTCTCTGGAAGCCTGGCCAGTTTCAATTTACATAACAGCTTCATCCACAGAAACCGGAGCCAGAGGCAGGTTCTTTCTCTTTTTTCCTCTCCGAGACACGGAAACCTTTATTTTCTCCCTACACCACAAACCAGTGCTGTTAAATAATATTGGATAATTGCACCTGTCGTGCTCCCCATATTGTGCCGAAGAAAAATAATTGCTGGTTTTCTGCTTTGCCGTTTAGCTGTGACTCCGTCATTTGACTCGGAGCATGTCATTTTCTCCCATTTTAGATTGCGTACAGTCAGACTGTGTGAAAGGACTCCCAGATAGCGGCCCTGCGTGTGTGAGTGGGCGCAGGCCTCATTCAGCAATGATTTCTAATTTATACAGCATTGAAAATCCACAGCTATAAATAAACAGTTCTGACTGGCTTTGCTGCCTACTCAAATGCTTTATTAAAAAAAAAAAAAAAAAAAGGCATGAGAAAGGAAAACAAGGCCGGGGATGGAGTCAGGTTTCTGGGCCTGGGAGGGAAGACAGGGCACTCAGCCCTGGGGTGGCTCAGGGCACGGCCTGCGGCCTTGGGGGAGGCCTGGCCCAGTCGCACCACCTTCCTGGCCCCCTACGCTCCCTGGGTGCGGGTGCAACATGTTTGGGGATTACAGTATATGAAACCAGCTTCCTGTTATGACAGATACTGCTAGCATGTAGGTGCAGAGCTCAAAATAGCTCAGGAAATGTATGGCCCTCGGGGGGAGGAAGAGGTGGATGAGATCTTCTACCCAAATTCAAAATCGGTTTCACATGAGAGCGAGCCACCAGGAAACAGAGGCACAAGCCTGAGCCGGTCCTTGGGGGTGGTGCTGCTGCTGCGACTCCTGGTGTCTGGGTGGGGGAGAGTTTCCGACCACTGGGGGGTCCCTGACCACCTTCTCTGTGCAAGATGTGAATGCATTGTTATTTTTAATAAAGGCCTTCAGATGACCAGTTACTGCTTTGCTCTGTAATAACGTTAGAAAGACAGGCTGCAAAATCAAATATCCTGATAAACTTGGTTCTATCATTTCCCTGCTCTGAACCCAGTTGTGTGTGGTTGGAGACAAACTATTGAGGACCCAGGGACTGGTCACATCTCTTCCCAATTCCGCCTGTGGTCCCATGTTGGTAGCTTGAAAAAGGCCCCAGTAGAGGGACAAACATGGTATCCATGTCTACGTCATGGAAATGGGCAAACTCTATAAATCAGGATTTTACAACTCTTTCGCCCCCCCCCCGCCCCCCGCAGAGTTGGTTGTTAAACATTGACCACCATTTGAAGCTTCATTTACTCATTGTAAAACTAGGACATGTTTTCTACTTACAAAATTTTGCGAGGCTAAAATGAATGAGGGGGATTGTAAATTTCATGACACTCTATAAATCTCGCTGGTAACATGGTTTGGTTTCTATTATTGTCATTTCGTAATTACGAGGGACTTAACACAGCCCTGCACAGGAGCAAACACTGTACATCTTTGAACACGTGTTTAGTCCGTGTTCGTTACAGGTGGGGCACTGCTCATCTTTTCTCAAGCTCCAGCTGCCCCACGGAAGCTCTTGTGTGCCGGTCGTGTACGTGCTCAGTGGGAAGTGGCTTGGAGATCTCTGCTGTGGGAATAGACGGACTTGCACAGTGACCAGTCATACTGCAACCAGGGTTTAATTTAGTCCTGGGATAGCAAAGCCACAAATAGAAATCTGCAGCCGCATCTCAGCCAAGAGCTTACCCTGATCGAGAAGTATGCAGCCCGAGTCATCTCTGGGTGTGGAAAGTTTGGGTGATCCCCAGCAGGCATTATGGTGGGGGTATTTCCACTGTGGCAACTGCTTCTGGGGCTTGCTGAGACCAGGTCTCAGAGCAGTTAAGAGGCAGCAGCAGGTGTGGGAAGAGGTGATGTCCCCAGCTCTATCCCCCAAAGACCCAAAGTTTATGTTTATGAGCAAGGAGAAGAGAAGTGGGGATTGCACAGCTGTCCTGGTGCCTGCCCGCGTCTTTCCTGGGGACACATGCCCTGTTGGAATGTTTTTCTCTCTTCCCTAAAAGGAAGACTGTTTATGGTGTCCATTTTTACCAACTTTCTCCTATAGACTGTCAGGTCATCCTGTCGTTTTCCTGCTCTGAACCCTGAGTGTGCTGAAGACAGGCTCTTGAGGACCAAGGGGCTGTGTACCTCTCTCCCTGGCTCTGCCCTGGCCATACTCTGCAGTCTATATCCCGACCCCATGAGCCCAGACACACACTAGAAGACTCAATCATGGCTACCTACCAGTGGACATTGGCCATTTGTGTTCTTTTTAAAAATATGTCTATACATAAAGGCCTGGAATAAAACCACTTGGAAAATTAAATCTAAAGGGTTCAGAAATCCTTGTTAATCACCTTACAATCAGCTTTCTTAAGCCATATACTATCTCAACAAAGCACTTTTTTACTACAGGCATCTCAGAAGACCTCATTATTGTATTACTCCCCAAGCATAAAGCACAACATTTATTTGGCAAACTAAACAATATTTGAATGGAAGAGATTTTGATAATGTCATTACGTTCACAATTCATTCCCGTCCCAAACACTGATTTCCAAAAAGGACCAATTTCCAAATAGTTTATAACTTATTTTCTCATTGTCCCAACTAATTTGCTATGATACCAGGTGGACAGAACTTTGGGGGCAACCACCTCCCTACATTTCTAAATGAAGAAGAAAAGGAGAGAGAGAGAGAGAGAGAGAAAGAGAGAGAGAGAGAGAGAGAGAGAGAGAGAGAGAGAGAGAGAGAGAAATCCACGAACATAACTACCTTACTAAAATACTTATTTTTTAGAGAAAAAGGGATTATTGGAAAATGGCCCAGAACGGGAAGTTAGGAGATCTGGGAGACAGAACCATTATCTTCATTTAGATACTTTGACACAGGTCACTTCTCTTCTGGACCCTCATTGTCCTCCTTTGGAAAGTGAAGGGTTTGGAGGACCCTATGCTCCTGTCCCTTTCTCTAAGTATTCTTTAATGCCAATTGTATGTGAGATTCTTTGGTCTTTGGCCAAATTTTGACCCAGAAACCATCATCCTCGGTGGAGGTCAGACACACACAGGTAACAAATTCTGAGATGGCCAGGAGTTGTTTGGGGCATGTATAAACTTTCAAAGGACCAAGAATCCTCCAGTGAAGCTATCTTTATAACTTCTTATTACATTTGAACACCAGCCTCTGTCCTTTCCACCTTCCTATGTTATTCCATCACCTCCCCCACAGAAATAATCATAATAAATAATAATAATAATAATGAGAAAAAAAATCTCTCATGTTTTCTTCCTCCTCGGTCCTTGGAACCTGGCACGCAGTCACTTCCTCTTCATCCACGGCTGCATCATGTGACCTGAACAAACAGAACAGAGACACACCTCAGGCTTCAGGGTTTCCCTAAGAGGGAGTCTCGTGTGAGTAGAGATCCAGCCTGATGGGGCAGCAGTGGGAAGTCAAGGACTCTGTTTCTCCAGCAGGAAGAGTTCCGAAAAAACAGCCCACAGCTGCCAGGGCAGGAAGCCAACAGGCCCCTCCTTTGATGGTGCTACTGCTGTTGGCAGCTCTGCGTCTGAGGAGTGGTCACTGCTGCTTTTGGTGAGTGTAGGCTGTTCACATGTGCCAGGGCAAACGCTGAGACCTCAGAGATGGAAAGGAAGGGCCCACGTCCAGTTAGAGAGGAGATGGAGGAAGGGTGAGTGTCCACCTAACTGGGGTCAATTCTACCTCCTCTCACCAAAGCAAATTATATCAACCCAGGTGGAAAAGCACTGACATACGGATTCTTTTGTTTGTTTGTTTGTTTTCTGTTTTTGTAAGCACAGTATAGGGACCTTCTTCTACTGAAAGCATAGCCTTCAATTTCTAGAATGACATCCATTCAATCAATCAGTTAGTACCTCCATATTGATGGGTCATGAATCTTTGCATAAGCTTTGAAATTGGTAAGATTATATTAGCTCATTATCTTTCCTGCCATTTGCCAAATAATTTCAATCCTACTTTGAAAACTTTTCTCAACTTGGTGTCTTATCCTTCATTCTGGAAATTAGATCCCCTGTCGTTTGGTTTGGTTTTACCATAGCAATTTCATGCTCCCGATTCTAGGCCAAGTTTACCATTCAGACCCTCCACTTTCACCAGGTTTATCCCTGATAGGAAACATTCAATATCTTCTGTTCATTTTATTTTGCTGGAACTCCCCTTCCTCAGAGGATTCAGTGATTGGTGACATAAAGCCCTACTGTGGCCTCTTAGGCACTCTGATTTTCTAGAACTGCCATCTCCTGGTCACTCAGTCTTAGGACCACCCTTGTTTTCATCCCTCTCAACAAGGGTTTGAGGCCAGAACTCTCCCTTGTTGTTCTGTTCCTCACCAATCCAGCCACCTGGCAGTGTCTCGGCATTTATTTAGTTTTTCAGGGTAAACACACTTCCTATTTATGTTTCCACTTATTTTCATCTTGATGTGAAACTCCCACCCAATCAGGTCCTGTCTGGGTCACATACTAACTGTAACATAGCACCTTCTCTTCTCTGCAGTGCCTACTTTGGGCCTTTAAGGAATCATTTGTAAACTGAGTAGCAGCCCTATACCCTCCCGTTCAAGAGCTTGGTCAATATGAACTTCCCTCAGCAGTCACTTTCTTGATCATGCTGTTTAGTAACCCAAGCCCCCTGAGGCTAACTGGGATCATGACCTTCCTCCTTAAAGTCCAGGTGCCAGGGGCTGGAGATTGCTCCTTTTAGGAAACACAGCAGAACGTGAAGGCTTAGAGAGAAGGAGAAGTGATGGTGTGAAGTTCTGACGGAAGAGGAGAGAAGGACACTCCTCCTGGTGGATCAGAGTCTCCTCTAACCAAAACCAAGCCGTTGGACACCAGGAGATTCCCACCTCCCACTGCTGTGGATGGGTGTGGTCTGAGTGCACCCCAAGGGCCTATTGTGATTAAAGCCTTCGTCCCACTCTGGTGATGTTGGGAGGTGGCGGTATCTTGTGGAGATGGGGTCTAGTGGCAGAACTGAGTTCATTGAGGTCCTGCCCTCAGGAAGCAGTTCTCATGGGACTCAGAGATAGTAGCTCTAAGAGCCTTAGCTTGGCCCCTCTTGGCCTTCTCTCCTTTCCTGGTTCGAGCTATAACCTCATGCATGCTCCTCTACGTACACCCGTCATGATGCACTGCCACTTGCTTCCCCCATCAGAGGCCAAACCAATGGGGCCACCCAGCTTGGACCTGGAGCCTCCACAGCTATATTATAAATAAACCTTTTCTCTTTGTAAAGTTAGCTGCTTCAGGTACTTCATTACAGAAATGAAAAGCTGACTAATATCACTAATACGCTAGAAAGGCACCATCCCCAGTCTTTTGTGTTGAGCTTCAACAATAATTTTATTCTGTAGAGATTTAACATGTATGAATACCTCAGAAGTTTGTTTTTCTTTTTGCTTCAAACAGGGGTGGTATGGAGGGAGTCCTTAGTTTTGAATTCTCACAGAGCTGAGCAGTTTCTAAGTTTCTTAAGTCATCTGACTTTATCTCTCTGTTTCTATGGTACATGGGAACTGTTTACTTAGTAATAGGTCATGTATCTAAGTAAAACAGAGTTCATAAAATGGATTTCCATCTCTGGGAAATAATATTATTTGTTATAACATTTCTTGATTGAAGAGAATTTTTTCCCAGTACAAAGTCTGCTAGTTGGAGGCAATGGATTAGATCCATCCCCGACTTTATAGTTCTTTCTTTATCCTCCATCAGATGTGCCAAGGGCTAGAGAGATTTTAGGCTAAAGATTCAATGTTCATCTTCTGGTGTGTCCAAGAAACCATGTTTTAATCAATATTGCTATAGGTATCATATATAATTATACTGTATTACTCAATAGGCAGAACATAGGATAAATAAAAACAGTGTTCTCAAAGATTTACAGCTATGAATCTACAACTACAACAGCTTCTGAAGGTAAGTTTTTGTTGTTTTATTTTATTGTTGTTTTATTATGTTTTAGGAAAATCTTAACATAATTCTTTTCCAGTACCATCCAAGTCACTTGGCTAGACTGTAATTTTCAGTGTATCAATTTATGATTTTCTTTAGGAGAAAAAGCATCCATTGTCTTGGGACCTGAAAAATAGATAGCTTGATCCCTGCCTAGTGGCCCTAAGGATGTAGGAAGAGGGGGTGTGACCCTTGCCTGGGTCAGGTAGGAGGAGAATCTGCCTGGGGCCCGTCTAGATGGTCAGACAGCGCGCACGCCAATCTCACAGTGATCTGCCAAGACCGCTTCCCCTGACCCCTGACTGTTTTCTATCATTGTTTGAAATCAATTCCATGCTCCAAAAGCAGAACTGGAATCTTTCTAGGTGGGTGGGTTATCTTAATAATGACTCCAGTGAAAATAGCATTTGTAGCCCTGGCACGCAGGGCCAGACCCTGCTACTGTGGGCCCTGGGAAGACTTCCTACGCTTGCCAAGTTTCCGTTGAATTCTTGGTATCATTTTCTTGTAACTGTCCTTGTTGCTCTCTTCCCACTCACCCACTGACATTATAAACGAGTGGGGAGGAGGCCAGCAGATGTTTAGCAACAGTGGCCCTGACATAATTATCTCCCTTGGGAGGCCTCCGGGATCCTAGTTTTATAGAGACTTATCCTCAGACCAGCAATGGTCTCTCTGGGACACGCTTTCAAAGGGCAGAATCCCATCTGTATCCAAGGTCTGCTGAATGAGAACCTATTCTGTAAAGATCTCCAGATTTTCCAAGATCTTCGTTTTAACACTATCCAGAGGCACATACTGGTTTGAGAAACACTGCTTCGTAACAGTGACTCTTGACCCTGACTGCAAATTAAAATAACTGAGAAGCTTTAAATAACACCCCTGTTAAATCCCCATATCTCGAGAGATGTGGACGTAATTGGTCTGAAGTGGGCTTGAGACTTAATATTTTTAAGACATCTCTAGTGTTTCTATGATGTGAGGCTAAGGTTGAGAACTACTGTCACAGAGATACCTGGCACATTTAACTGGTCACAGCTGATCGTTTGCCTGGTATCCTTGATCACTTGTTTTTGATGCTGGTTGGTGGCACCTAGCCAGGTCACACACTCAGAATTTCAGAGAAAGAGATTCCAGTGAATTCTAGCTTCAATCGGCATGACCCCTTTCACACTAAGTTTTTGAATCCATGCACCATCTCTATCCATTTGCAGGTAATTAGTGACTGTTACTTAAAATCACCTTCAGCTGGGAAACTGGTAATTTATGCATAAAGTGGAAGGGAAAACTGGGAATACCCACACAGAGGAGAAAGATGGTGATTTTGGTGGGAGATTGAGACTAACARCGATGGGGACAACTCTTGCTCKTAGGCAAGTCTTTTGATACTCAGACAGTCACCTAAGGACCTCCGGGATCTTAGAAGAGGGGTGTAAGTGTTATCTCAACTGTGAAAGGAGAAAATTGGCAYCCATCACTTTGAGTGCCTTGCCTAGAGTCTTGGTGACTTGGAACCCAGGCAGCTGGACCCCAGAGCTTATCTCCCACTGTCTCACAGAGGATCTTCTGTGACTTGCTGCTCTCACCAAAGAGCTCCGACTGCGGAAGGATGAGAGCAGAGAATTTCAGTTTGGATTTGGACAGWCAGGGTGACCACCTCTATGTTGTCATAAATCCAGAACAGGAGATGTGGAGAGGGACTCACAGTCAAGGGACAGATGATGGATCGTTGGGCCTAAGACCATCCAGACGTCAGTAAGGACACTGTCACAGCCGGCGGTACTAGGACCAGCCCAGACAAACGGGCCTCTTGGCCACCCTGCCGAGATGTCCGCCTGCCTTGGAAGAGTTGAAGTGCGTTCCCTCAGGGGGGTCTGTGGCCAGATGAGGGACACACCCTGGCTGTCTCCATCCCCTTTTCCAGGGTCTCCCTGGGTCTGCGTTGCCTGCCCTCACCTGCATCTCTTCTTCAACAGCTCTGCAAGCGGAAGCCCACATCACCACTCCCATACCCCTGAGCCTCCTGGTCCAGTGCCCTCACCTACAACTAGTGGAGTCACTCCTTGTCTGCTGTCGCTGGAACACCTCTGCAAAACGCCCCACTCCAGGCCTGGAGAGGAGGACCCTGGGAAATCCCACCACCGCTCTGATTGGAGACTGGGAAAGCTTAAGGTATGGACAACACAAACTCCTCATCCTTCAGAAACCCAAGGTCCACGTAAAAACAAAACCCTAAGGCAGAGGTTAAAACAAGCAAACGAAAACACAAAACAGTGGCATTGGGAGGTACAGGGGAGCCATGGAGCATGTGGGAAGGACGTCAGGTCCAGCCTGGGCAGAGCAGGGAAGGCTTCCCGGAAGAGGTRAGGTGAAGTGAATGAGGAGGTGAGACCTGGGAAAAGACTGGGGGAATGAGAAAGAAGCCCAYGGAGGGCAGAAGCCCCAACAGGCAAGTAAAATAAGTAAACTGATGCTGCCGGGGCCCAAATTAAGAAGAAGGTGAGAGAACACGAGTCGGGGACTGGGTCACGGAGACCCTGGTGTGTCGCACGTCCTAAGGGCTGGCCTTGCTTCTGTAAATGGGAGATTAAAGTGTGGTGGGCACAGGAGGACAGGGGGTTGATCTCCGTGTCCCCGTGGATCAGCAGACCACTCTACTTGGTTTTCAGCAATTTAAAAGCATTCGCTGCCATTGCAATTTTGAGGGGTTCGGTTTCTCTTTTAATTGTTGTTTAATTACTTGCAATTAATAAAGATCTGTTTGGTATTTAACACATTTCACTTATTCTCCTCTTCTTTTTAAATTCATTTATTTATTTTTTAATTTTTTTGCAGGATTGCGGGGTGGGGGTGGGGGGGTTGAACCCAGAGATTCTCTACCACTGAGTTCCATCCTCAGCCCTTTTTATTTTAAAACAGGGTCTCACTAAGTTGCCACGGCTGGCCTTGAACTTGTGATCCTCCTGCTCCAGCCTCCAGAGTCACTGGGATTACATGCCTGGCCATCCATTATTTTCATAAGGAGATAAACATATCAAAAGAGAAGAGACGTACAGTCCTATCACTCATGTGACCTTCTGCATTTACACAAACATGTGAGGGTCCCTATATTGACTTAGTTGTAGTGGAAAATTGGAATATAGCCCCTAAACAATAGGGCATGTTAGGAAGAGCTTTGTGGGGCTGGGGCTGTAGCTTGGTGGTAGAGTGCCTGCCTCGCATGTGTGAGGCTCTGGGTTCAATCCTCAGCACCACATAAAAATAAATAATTAGAGATACTGTGTCCATCTACAACTAAAAAAAAATTTAAGAAAAAAAAAGAAGAGCCTTGTGTTGAAAGTAGTGATTTCAAGAAATAAATAATAGTGAAATTTTATTTTTAATTCAATGTATGTTTAAAATTCATTGTGGGGTAACAATTTAAAAATTAATCATTATTGAACTCCATACAATTGATTGAAAAAGTTGTTGTTCTCTAAGTATTCCCATTTTTTTTCCTGCACTTCTTACATCTGCCAAATTTCAAATGGAATTTTTCTTTCTTTCTTTTTTAAGTATAGATTTGTGGAGGGCATCAGAAAATCTTTACTCAGAACTCCAAAGAGCCACAAATAGTCAGAATTAGCTGTCAATGCATTTGAAATGTCAAGATATCTTTTTTTTTTCTGGATAATTTTCTACAATATGGAATCTTGCTTTGGGAACTATAATTTTTAGTATTTTATTTTTAAGTGTTTGCTTTTATATAGGACATTGCCTTAGATCTTCTCAACCAAATACTCCAAGAGTAGAAAACACATCATAAGTCCAAGTTGCTTGCTTATTTCTCCAGGGTCTCAGCCTGTCCTCAGAAATACACACTATGGTGCCAAGCCTTCTAAACTGGGGACATTTTGCACACAGCAGCTTAGGGGTCACACCTATTCAGGCAAAGGCAGAAGATGCCATCTCTATTTGGGTGGAAGTGAGCTAGTGGTATGGGGGACTGCAGCTAACTCTCTGCCTTCTTTCAAATACAGTCACATTTTGCAACCTGACTTTCTAGTACCTGTGGTTACTTTTCCAGCAAAAGCATGTTCTAGAGGTGAGGTGCAGAGGGGGAAACAAAGAGGAGAATAAAATCTTCCCTTCCAAAATTAACTGAGGATTATTCTATGAAGAACCTATCTGATTCCACCTGCCTGGGATTAGAAAGCTTGGCTTGCTCACATATTCCCACTGCCCAGGACCCTGTCTAAATGAGAATCCCAATGTCAAATAGAGCCTGTGATTCTATTTAGTAAATGCTTTTATAAGCTTGAGAAGCAACCTAATAAAAGAGGGATAAAAACTCACCTGGGAATGCACTGCTGAGATTGGACTAGCTAAGAGGGTCACCTGAGCTCAATTCCTTCAAAAAGGAAATCTTGTCCTTGTCACAGCTTTTGTCCTCCTGGCTTAGGTACTAGGAGATTCTGCTACCATTTTTTTTGGTCATTTCTAGAACAATAATATCTTGTTCTCTGAGGCCTGAGCTTTCTAAATAAGATGTACCTTTCAAGTTAAATAAGATGCTGTCTGGGGAGGAGGGGAGATGATTTGATGGAGTCCCTGGGAATGCCAGCTTGTCCCAGGCCATGCCTTGGCCTACTTTGGTAGGACTTCTCCCAGTCCTTTGGCTAAACATCCTCAAACTCCACTGCCTTCTGGGTTGGAGTAGTTTTTCGTTCCATTTCCAGAAAGAGTGGAGGAAAGGGTAAGAAAGAAATATCTTTGTACACAAGAAAAGAGAGATACACTGACCCCATTTCCAGCAGTTGATCTTTTCTCCAAACAGGTAGATGCTGACACTCAGGAAGTAGCTGGAGGAGAAGAAGACCGTGAGGCCCAGCGGGCTGAGTTTTCCAAGCACAGGGTACACCCACCGGCCAGTCTCGGAGTAGATCCACAGGACCCTGTAGAAAGCAGCAAGTGACCACCATTAGGAAAAGACAGACAGACTAGCCACTTTGTCCCCACCGTCAGTGCAGAACTGGACAAAAGCAGGCACGAGGAGTGTCCGTCCACAGATTCCCACAGCTCTCTGGAAGTGGGTCTTCTCTTGGTAAATTAACTTGACTTAACAAGACATCTTATTTCATGGGGTGAGTGGGGCCTTTCCTTCCTAATCCATTAAAATTAAATCTTGGTGAGAGAATAAGGGAAACAAATCATTAGTGAAGGAGAGTTTGTGAATCTGTGAATAAATTATTCCTCCCCTGAGACTGACGGTTTGCTGAGACCAGGGACCTGCTAAGATGGCGTCATTTGCTGGCTCTCGCCAAAGAAGTGAAGGATTTSTTTGTTTTTGTTTTAGTACCTAAGAGTAAGAAAGAGCTTCCCACGAGCTCTCCAAATCCTTTAGGACTAGGAGGAACAGAGATGGAGAGATGGAGCTTTATTGCCCTGATACAGTAGGCCTGGGTTTAATTGTTGGCTCCGATTTTAGCTCAAGATATAATTATGGATAGAGTGCTAAGTAGGAATGGATGGATTCACAGGAAGGCCCAGATCTTGCTCCTGAGAGATTGACTGTAAGTCATTTCCGAAAGCCAAGAGAAGGAGAAGAAATGCTAGGAGAGAAGCCGTGATATCTAAGCGAAGCCTAAAAATGTGGTTTGCTGGAAACCAAGATGCTTCACTGGAAGATGCCAAAGTCTGAAATAACTTTAAAAATTAAATATGAGGAAGACGTCGCATCAGCCACAGTTTGTAATTGGTTAAGAGTACAGAATCTGGAACCAGGTTTCTGGGATTCAAATCCCAACTCTGCCGTCTATCAGCTATGTTACCTGCAGTAGTCTATTCAACCTTTGTGGTGTACAGTGGGGACTGGAGCAGCACACACCTTAAGAAGAAGGAAGGTAACACGTGTTAACTGCATGCATGTGTTCTAAGGAAGCTACCTAGAACAGTGCCTGACCCACTGTAATCATGGACAAGAGTTCCCAGCTTCTGTCTCCACAGAGGGGTGGCACCATAAGAATCTTCTCAGCAACTTTTCTTTGAGTCCGTTGATCTCTTATAGCCATTGAGATAAGCCAGGTTCTGCTTCAGAATCAGCACTCAATTGTGACTATGCTGGGTTGTCAAAAGAGTTAAGGGAGGAAAATGAAGTTCTGAGGTTAATTAAACTTGCAGAAGCTCAAGTGTGATCTCTGTCATTTCAAATTCTTCGTTAAATGTCTCAGGAAAGAGACAAGGGCTAACATTCAGGTCCAGGAGTAGAGTGAAGCCAAGGAGGCAGTTGGGGTGTAAAACTCAGGACTCATCTTTGTGCATCAAAAGATACAATCAACAGCATATAAAGGGTACCCATGGGAAGGGAAATAATGTTTGCAAATCATACATCTAATAAGGGACTAATATTCAGAATATATAAATAAGTCATATAACTCAACAAAAAAACTTAAAGGGCCCAATTGAAAACAGATGAAGGACTTGATAGAATTCTGCAGAGGAGACATACAAATGGCTAGCAAACCCATGGAGTGATGGCCAACATCACTAATAAATTTTGATCACTAAATCAAAACCACAACAAGATGCCACCTCACTTACCTACATTAGGATAGTCAGTATAAAGAAAAAACAATAAGTAGTGAGGATGGGGAGAAATTGAATCCTCTTTGCATTGTTGACAAGAATGTAAAATGGCGCACCTGCTATGGAATACTATATGTCCATTCCTCAAAAAATTAAACTAGAATAATCATATGATCTTGTAATTTCACCTCTGGGTATATACCCAAGGGAGGGAATACGTGTGCATTCATTAGCAGCATTATTCATATTAGCCAAAAGGTGGAACCATCTCATGCATCCATTGGTGGATGGATGGATAATTAAAATGTGGCATCCATGCACCCATTAAAACAGAAAGAACTCAAACTTATGCTACAACATGGGTGAACCTTGAGGACATTATGCTAAGTGAAATAAGCCAATCACAAGGGGCACCTGCTGTATAATTCCAGTTAGATGAAGAAGCAACAGTGTCAAGTTCATCGAGACAGAGGGTGGGATGGTGATCATGAGGCATTGTGACTGTTGTAAAAACGGTTTGGAGTTTCAGCTTGGGAAGAAAAATGAGTCCTAGATGGATGGTGGTGATGGAAAGCCACTGACCCTTTACTTCAAAGTGGTGAAAGTGGTGAATATTATGCTATGTGTATTTTATCACAATTTTAAAACTTGAAGGAGATGCTGGTCTTGGGGCTGTACAAGTGTAGGTTTGATACGTGGTCCCTGGACCTGGGCCTGTTTATACCACTTTGTTTTCCAAATCCTATTTTGATGCTCCTCCCAGAATGATAGACAATGAGATGACTACAACAAGAAGAATTCTTGCCATTGTTACTATTATTGGAAGCCTTGAAGCTGGATGACCGAGGGAGGCGTTGTGGGAGGCTAGCCACAGGGCTTCCTGCCTGCATGGCTGCTTCCCGCAGCAGGGCGGAGAACATACCAGAGGCAGAAAAGAAACATCCCCAAGTCAAGAGGGCTTCGGCAAGGAGAAGTGAAAACACTCCAAACACATGGTATTCATTGGTTCGGTCGGTTTATTTTATATACCTGAGATCAGGGCTCCCCGATTCCCAGGCACATTTATGTAAGAGAGTCTACAAACAAAGACATCCCCCCGGAGGCCTGGGAAGCTTCTGCGTACCTCAATTTCTGTTTCCTTCAGCATAAGACTCCTAAAGGAAAGTTCCAGAGGTGACGGAGTGAATTGTGAGTGCTCACAGAGACAGAGCTGAGGAAGTCATAGGTGGGTTGGCTGAAGTCTGGGAAGGGCATGGAAATAGAACTGGGGAGGAGGGAGAGGAACTTGAGGAAGGGCCCTCAGCAGGGGGCAGGAGTGGGGGAGCCATGCTGTCCAAGGGCATCACCTCTTTGTGGTTTCTCTGGGTAAATGAAGGAAGGAGGGAGGGGGCAGGGAGGAGCAAGCAGGCACAAACAGAGATGGAGAGAGAAGGGAACTTGGCCCCCACGGGTCCCGCCTCTCAGCCCACCCAGCTCTTGGCTCACTCTTGCCCCCACAGCCAATCCCTCGAAATTCTACCTGAAGGTCCCTCCAGCACGTGCTTTCAGGACCTTGGTCCAGGCCCCTCCATGCCGCCTGTGATTCTGTCCTTTTCTCCTATCTGGTCTTCTTGCTGCCCTCCCTTCACTGTCCACCCTGCAAGCCACCAGGAACCAGGCATCTGTCTAAAGCTATCCCTGTTCAAGGTGTCCCTGTTCATGACACCTGCTGCTTTCAGTAGCTCTGCATCCAGAAAATTCCAAGACTCCTTCACCTGGCCTACCTGGCCCTGCCTGCGACCCTCCTGCCCAAACCTACAGTCCACCCCTATTGGACCCCTTCTGGGTTTTGAATGAAGCAGATCCTGGGTTTTTACCCCTGTAATTATCTCCACCTGAAACATCTCCAAAGAGTTTATCTCCTGGACACACGTCTCCTTGCTCTTTGCCAGGCTCAGCCTTGCATGTCGAATCTCATCTTGAAAATCCACTTCTCTAGAAAGATCTCCTGGAGAGCCTTACTCCAACCTCCATTCAGGTGGGGGCTTACGGCACCAGCTCCCCACCATGCAGCTTACCCTTGTGGCAGGGTAAGCTCTGCATTGGACAGGGACGGTGTTTCCACCACGCACATCCGTTTCCCAAGGACCCAGGACCAGCCAGTTCTTCCTGCTGCAAGTGATGGCTGTCAGGGTGGTTCTGTTGGGGCTCACACAGTTACCGTAGTCAGCTCTCCACTTCCCAAACCACCACATCACTGTCGCCTCTGGAATTTGAGAACTGAACCCCCCAGCCTTCCAAGTTTGGATTTCACTGAATTAATACTTTGAAGAGGCCAATGTGCTGCCCCTCAATTGTCATGGAACAATGTTTTATGTCCTTCTAGAACTGTCTGCCTTAGGAATCTTTGGGTGCCAGGCCGGAAGGCCACAAAATATGTGCATATATATAGTAATTAGAGTTTCTTCATTCTGAATCTCACAGCATCAACTTGGTGACCATGGGATTCAGATCTCTCTTATCAGTAAGGAAGTAGTGGCAGTCTGTGGTTAGAGATAAGGAGATAAGGAAGTTCTGTGGGCTTTTGGCATATCATTTTTGAAGTTTTAACCTTCGTGTCATGTCTTTCCCACTCAGCAGAATAAAGCACAATAAAAGAGTAAAGAAGCTACAATTTGTCCCCCCAAATTCACGCAAGAGTTTAATCTCCAAAGTCTTCTGGTATTAAGTTTGAACCCTTTGGAATGGAAATTTAATCTGACTGTGGTGTTTAGAGACAGGACTTTTGGGAAGTGGTTAGATTAGGTTAGGTCATTATGGTAGAGCCTCCAGGATTGAATTGTGGTGGCTTAATAAGGTGAGGAAGAGAACACAAAGACACAGAAATATATATTTGTTCCTGCCATGAAATGATACAGCCAAAGGGGGCCCTTGACCAAACCTGGGCATGCTGTTTACATTTCAGCTTCCAAAACTCTAAATTAAATAAAACTCTTTTCTTCATAGAATAGTCTGCATCTGGTATGTTATTATAGTAATGAAAAGCTGACTAATACAGAATAGAAACTTCAAAGCAAGAATGTTAAACAAATAATTTGCCTGGATTTTGACAATATCAAGAATGAGAAGAGCTATTGGAATAGCGACCCCTGGATGGAGATTGAAAACACTTGCCTAAACCCTCCCTGACATACCTCTTCCATTGAGAACTTTCTTCTCTACTTAGGGACCATAAAGTTCTTGTCCAGTCTTTGTTTTCTACCACCTGATGATCTGATCATCCTCTGCTACCTTGGCTGGCCTCTGGTCCCTCCTGTCCCTTACAGGAGGGCACCTCCCAGATGGGCTTATAGCTTCTCTCCTGTTCCCTTGTCTCCCCAGTCATCTCATC